GGTCAGACTGGTGGTTAAGAATGGAATTTCTTGCACACTCATGCCACCTACTGGTACTTTTCTTGTAGCAAAGGTTCCAGCCGATTTTTTTTTTTTTTAATTAAAAACATTTTTTTTCAGTGTAAACTTTAGCAGGATCATTTGAATGTTTTACTCATTAGCCCAGTTCTTTAAAAATACCGCCCCCTCAAACTTTGAAACTCGCTTCCTGTTGTTGCCCTAAGAAGCCTTCTCTAACACAGAATCTGACTCACTTGAAAGGGACTGAAATATTTTACTCCTTTTGGCCTGTTGACAAGCTTCAGAAACGCCTCTGAGCACCTTGCATTGGGCTGGGAACAAGGGAGATGGGTTAGCTGGGAAGAGATTACACTCATGGAATCTTCTGGAGTTCATAGTAATGTCTCCACTTTGCCCAGTATTTCCTGGGAGGGCTCCAGGTAGAGTGGGATAGTTGAGAAGGTGGTGGCCAGCTCCCCCCGTGGCAGTTCAACTGCGGAAGAAGAGGAAAATTCTGAGTGAATTCTGAGGAGTGACTTTCTCCTCTCCTGGATCAGGGGCACATCAGGGGATTTCTCAAACTGCTCCAGTCCCTGAAAACCTCTGGCCTATCCTCAAGGACACAAATATCACCTGCAAAGCTGGGTTTTCAAATTTTCTTTGGATACAGGTTTTAAAAATTACTACATGGGATTTGTCTTTGTATTTTGCTTTAAATCCAGGTGGAAGAGATAACTTGTTCATCTGTAGGGCACATCAGAAGAGGTATATAAGCCATTTATCTCACAACCTTAGGATTCTTTAAAAACTGGACGAACGTCATTATAGCAGTAGTATGCAATAAGCTGACACCAACACAGGAGAAAATGAGTCAGTTGCTATTAGTGAAAGCTCTGGCAGGTTCTCAAAGTTAGCTTGTCTGCGGGGGGAAATGATGGCCTTTTAATTACCATTGATATTATATTCAATGAGCTTTTCACCTTTTTCTCTTCTGCTCCATGGCAGGAGGAAAATAGCAGCTTTGAAGACTTTTGAAAGCAATGTAAAATTCTATTACAGCAGATTATGAAAAATTCCTTATAATGAAAAGTCAAGATGGTAACATTTAATAAACTGCAGATTTCAAATCTTCATTTGCTGAAAGGTTTAGCAGTACAAGTTAAGTCCAGAAAGGATTTAAAGAACTTTGAAAGCATTCTGGTCATTCTATAATTTAGAACAAATTAGGTTAAATTGTGAAGAGTTGTTCAGGATTACTGAAAAAAGTAGTTACTCCAGTTACACGCATACTGCTTATCAACAGGTTTTTATGATCTATATTTCACTATGTTCTGACAAGATTTAAGACGGGGCTTGTTTTTACAATTCATACTTGAGAGAACTAAGGTTCAGAGGTTAACTGACTTCCCAAAGTCACACAGCTAAAGTTAGTCAGCATTGCAGATATGTCTTCTTTATTACTATTATTTTTTTTTTGAGACGGAGTCTCACACCGTCACCCGGGCTGGAGTTCAGTGGTATAATCTCGGCTCACTGCAACCTCTGCCTCCTGGGTTCAAGTGATTCTCCTGTCTCAGCCTCCCGAGTAGCTGGGTGCCCGCTACCACGCCCAGCTGATTTTTTGTATTTTTAGTAGACGGGGTTTCACCATGTTGGCCAGGCTGGTCTCGAACGCCTGACCTTGTGATCTGTCCGCCTCGGCCTCCCAAAATGCTGGGATTATAGGCGTGAGCCACAGTGCCTGGCGATTTTACATGTAGCAGTCTTCCCAGAAACTAGGTGCCTCTTTCCCAGGGACTCTTCCACTCCTTAAAGCCAGTTTATCAAATTGGTGTATTAATCCATTTTAAGACACTTTTTAAAGCAGATGGAAAGCCATATTAATGTGTTTTTTTTTTCTTACCCATACTTCTTAGCCTATCAGCCTCTTGTGTCATAGGCTTTTATCAGATGGTAACATACCACAACTATATTTTCAATAACCCTTTGAATAATGATCGTCATGTATTAGCAGATGTTTTGTAGCAGCAAGGTTGTATGAGGTGCCCATGAAAATGGAGCTCTCTTAGCTATAGCACTGGCCATGACATGGGTAATGGGCATACATGGGGGGTGACTATCCCGGTCATCATAAAGGCAGTCCCACATGGCTTGCACATCAAGTATATTAGCTGCTTTATCTTGAGTGTTCTGCCTCGCATTTATAGGGGAAGTTGGACAGTTCCCATTCTCAGGGTAAACAGATCTTACAGGGGCTTTTTAAATCCAGTCCACCAGACTAGCTATTCTTCAGGAATAACCTGTGTGTCTGGATCATGTTTAGCCATCTGCAATCTTTCTTTTTTTTTTTTTTTGAGACGGAGTCTCGCTCTGCCGCCCAGGCTGGAGTGCAGCGGCCGGATCTCAGCTCACTGCAAGCTCCGCCTCCCGGGTTCACGCCATTCTCCTGCCTCAGCCTCCCCAGTAGCTGGGACTACAGGCGCCCGCCACCTCGCCCGGCTAGTTTTTTTGTGTATTTTTTAGTAGAGACGGGGTTTCACCGTGTCAGCCAGGATGGTCTCGATCTCCTGACCTCGTGATCCGCCCGCCTCGGCCTCCCAAAGTGCTGGGATTACAGGCTTGAGCCACCGCGCCCGGCCCATCTGCAATCTTTCAATAGTGAACTGTGGGTCCTCCATCAACCCAAACATTTCTTCCATTCTGCAGCATTTGAAACTAAAGATACTGCCCCTAAATTATTCTCATAGTCCATTTTAGTAAAGGTTCTTCAGGAAGCTAATGATATTGATCTACGAAATGCAACAAATCCTTGTACACTATACCCTCTGGTTTCAAGTTACTTGGTTTTGCTTTTCCCCGACATTGACTACCTTCTTGGTAACCATAGATCTGAGATTTTGTTGTTGCTGCATAACTTTGCCCTTGTGGGTGGCTCTGAGGCTAGTGGCTGAAGCTCGGCCTGAAACCTAAGCTTGGTGCAGCATCAAAGTTGGACCCAGCACTCTCTGATTTCATTTTAGCTATTATAGATAATAACCAAGGGATTGTACAGTTCACTTTTTTCTTATTAGCTTGCATTTCCTTATGCATCCAGTGAATCACCTCTCTACGAGTTGGATCCATCTCTAAATTTCACTGGTAGTAATTGAGTGCAGTTGCAGCTGTATACCATGGGTGGCCATGTGGCCACCCAGGAATCAAAGGTTTCTGACCATCACCCTTTCATCATTTTTCTTGTCCACCTTTCTGAGCCAGGGCCCTTCTAGCAAATCCCATCTCTCTGACAGCAATTGGTAATCAACTTGACCTGCAACCCTTTTCCCCTCCCGGGAGGTTGCTCTGTGAGGCTGGAAACACCTTACCTCTAATCATGCCTGTATCTTTCCCGTGACCAGCTCTACCCTGGCTATCAGTCTCTATTAGCACACACAAAGAAAATCTTTTGAAAATTCCAAGGATTTTAGGGATTGTATTGCTAGGAAATGGGGACGAAGACCAGACGACCAAATACATATTTCACAGCATCAAAGAAACATGTTACTTTTGGAGTTTGGCCAAAAAAAACCAACAACAACAACAAAAAAAACTGGAGTTTTGGCTCCACCTGAGACCCATTCAGTACTGGGGAGGGGAATGAGGACATAATTGACATGTTTAACAAGGCTCCCAGGTGCTCATGCTGCAGATGGGTTTTTTTTGTTTTTTTGAGATGGAGTCTTGCTGTGTCGCCCAGGCTGGATGCAGATGATTTTTAAAACCCAAATATGCAAAGTGATGCTTAGGATTATACAACCTTTACCGATGCTTTGGAATGTGTATTTTATGCTTTACCACAGAAATTTCAGTTTGAGAAACCCAGTATTTTAAAATAAGCCATGCAATTAACACCCAACTTGAGTATCCACCCTAATTTCTGCTTAGTTCTGCTTTCTTCCTATAATAGATATCTTATCAGTGCAACGTGCTAGCCTGATAAGAGTCCTTCAGTTTAATCTTGCTTTATTCCCAATTCACATAGATTAGAAGTAAATTTATATGGCTCCTGGTAGGAAACAGGTGTTAAACAGATGAACGATTAGTGGATCTGTTTAAACTGAGATTTTTTTATAACTGATGTTTAGGAATGAATCATCATAAACATGTCTGAATATTTTACAACTGGTAGTTTAATTCTGCCCCACCAAAAATTACCTGTTGACTGATTTAAGCCTGGGCTTGGGCCCAGCCTCTGATTTAAACATGACTTTATGGGTAGGTAAATTTAGGAAACAGATGGTACTGATATTTTTCCCCTCCAATCCCAAAGTAACAACTCCTAACTGTAACTTAAATCTTCACATAATTACTAAAATTATTTTTAACCAGGAATGTTCACTTGAGAGTCTAAATAAAAGCACTTTAAGATCAAAACAACTTACAGTTATACGGCCACCTAAAACTAAGGGCAAGAATCTTCCTCTTCGGTCAGGGGAAAAAAAGCTTAAATCTGTACATTCCTCAGTAACCTACTTAGTTAAGTTCACCTGTACTTGTTTAACTCTCGTATTCCAAAGCAAAACTCATTCCTATTAATTAGTATCCCCATCTCAAAAGAACAATGGTTTCTGTAAATAATCCAAAGTAGATCTTCATTCATATATATATATATATATATTTTTTTTTTTTTTTTTTGGCAAATGAAGTTTTTAAAAGGCACAGAGGAGCTTGTTGCTGGTACCTGCCAGTCACCTAAAAGTTTACCCAGTAATATGAAATTTTTTTGTTTATATATACTGAACTATAGTTACCAGTAGCTAAGGCAAAATGATCTGAGAAGTTAATACTGGCAAAGTCAATGTCTTCACGTGTGAATTAGGCAGTTAACCATGTCAGAACGTCACTATCACTGCCAACTGAAGAAAGCTACAGCTACTCAAAGATACCAAGAATGTGTTCAGAGATAAAAATTAAGATGATCACTAGACAAGATCAGTGGAAAATAAGTAGCAGTACTGCACCAATGCAAGACAAAATATACTTTATTGTGACAGCAAATGCACATAGTGCTGTAGGTAAGGCATGCTACTAGGAATCTGCATATAATCAAAAGCCAGTATGGAAATGAATGGAAATGAATGCTGTTCTCAGATTGAGTCCATGGTGGAGAAAGGGTAGTTTGTGTTCACTTATTTCAAATGCAGTATCATACCTACTTAATCAGTTACCTATGCTTCTAACCAACAGCCCAGTGGCAAATAAGAGGAACTTAACTGTACTCAGAAGTCACTTTCAGTATCAACGACAGAAATATTTCACTAATTCAACTGAGGCAAATTTCCTTTCTAGACAAAGGACCTAGAAATTGAGCATGCAAAACATCCATCCATCCATTCATTCATTCGAATAATTAGCCAATTTTACCATCATTTAATTCCACCAGAAACAAATACTAAAATACCTAGAAGTAGTTTGGATAAAGAAACATTTACATTTTAATACTTTGTAATGTCATAAATTTGGGGCTAAAATAACACCAGGTCAAATTTGATCCCTTTCTATTTGAGGGTACAAAGTACAGTTTTGGTTTCAATAGCTGAACTTCTGAGGGAAGAGCTGAAAAAAATGCTCTTAAGAGATCTAGGCCTTTGATGAAAACTATTAGGCTCTACAGACTTGTCAAAAATCAATGCAAAACTGAGGGGAAGAGGCTGAAATGCTGTGTAAAGCAGTATTTTTAGATAAGTTGCTTCATTTCCCCCTTTTCTAAAACAGATGCAGATTAAATGGTTTTTGCATGAATGCACATTGACATTCTGTTCAACTGTTCTCTAAATGCAATACTGCCGGTTTAAACAGTATGCTTTCATTTAAACAAAGAACGTTATATGCATGGTCAATTTAGTTTAAGAGATGAAAAGAAACTTTACTATGAAAATTGCTTATCAAATCCTCTCCTTTTTTATAAGGTGTTTTTAAAAGCAACACAGGACCAAAAGCATCCAACTATTACTTTATTTATATTACTATGCTTAAGTTACATGGAAAAAGACAACCCAGCAGTTCTGTCCCATCTCAGAAGTTTCCAATCAACACCAATTATGTGGTGACAAATAACTAGGAATGGTGACATCTTTGGGTCAAGACTGACAAGGAAGAATGGGCTCTGGTGCTACGGTTCATCTCCAACAAGAATATGGCACACCGGCCAGCACAAGCCATGCTAACACTGAGCCTTTAGCGCTGGGCACAGATTCGGATCTCTTCTCTGGAGCTAGCAAATCAAGTGAGATAACTGGGTTTAAAAGAAAAAGTTTAAAATGAAGCCCAAGTTTAAAAACCATACTCCTAACATCTTCCTTTCAAAATTTACATAAAACACACTTTTTCACTCTAACAGCCCAGATTTTTTTCCTTACATAGCTCACCACATAGCTGCAGACTCTTCTGCCTCAAGATGTAAACATAGGGTAAAAAATTAACGGCATCTGCATAATATTCTCTCTACACACTGCTGTTGGATGGAAAATACAAAATTAAAAAAAAAAAAAAAAAGAAAGAAAGGTTCCATCTTAGATTCTCACAACCTCTTGTTCCGCAGTTCATTAATCCGACTCTGATGCTAAGGTGACAGTGTATGTAAGTAGATTTTTGTTTTCAGTGAAGGAGACCTGGGAAAAGATGGATTTCTCTCTGTATCTTCAAGAGTTATCAGATGGTACATGCTCCTCAAAGCCCTCACTCTCTCGAACTAGAGCACGTTCCAGGATCACGCGGCCTTCCTTATATCGCTGGCTGTCTTCAGTGGCAAACTCATAGATCCATCCCAGTTTGCTATTGCAGTTTTTGCAGCTCACATCTCGAACCATGTGGCGGCCAGTGAGCATGACCCGATCTTGAACTTCACTGTACTGCAGGTTAACTACCTAAGAAGGGACAAGGAAAAACAAAATTGCGAAGGCATGTGAGTTATACTGCCAAGTATGTACAAAATATTATGGTTAATGCAACAGCAACTTCAGAAAAGGAGAAAAAAGTTGTTACTTTAGTCAAACCTATAATACCCTAGACTTATTTACAGAAGCTGCTGGGGCAGGCAGACATCTGGAAATTGCACAACACTAGACATCTAATGCAATCATGCACTACTGTACTAGCCTAAGTCACACTATTAAAACATACTACATTTCTGTGTTGCAGGTAAGAAAGAGTCCTGGAATTGGAGCCATAAAATGTAGGTTTCGGTCCAACTGTAGTAATTCATCATTATTCAATGATGAGTGCAAGTAATACAATCAATGTAAAAGAACCTAATGCCCCATCGTTATTCCATGAAACGGTCTGTTTCTGAAAATATACTTTATATATAGACTGGGACAGATTAAGCCAACTACAGACCATATATCTGCAATGCATAGTTTTAAAGTGAGTTCAAAGACAATGAACACAATGAAGTGGGTCTGAGACAACCTGTGGCGAATTTCCACTGATTCTGGATACCCAACAATCTTCTACACTTTCCTTTTCTGTAAAGGGCCAGATAGTACATATTTCTGGCTTTGAGGGCTATGTGGTCTTTGTTGCAACTTTTTTAACTCTGGCACTGTAGCATGAAAGAAGCTGTAGACAATACGTAATGCACAAGCAGAGCTGTGTTCCACTACATTTACAAAAACAGGCAGCTGTCCTGCTGCAGTGTGCCCTCCTCTGTACCGAAATAAATGTCAAAGAGTATGCTCCATCATTTCTGAGAAAAGCTTCTTTCTACATGGAACAGAGGAGTACCCACTGGGGAAGTTCATCTGATCTTCTAAGAACAGTACCCTAGACTAGCTATGTTCCTTGGCCTAAAAGACTTGGAAATTCAACTTTTCTATTGTACACTAGATTCCAGGAGGCAGAATCACAGCATCCAACTTGAATGCAAGCCAGAAATTAGAGACAGGCAGACTGGGTACACACTTGCAAATTAGAAACACTCTTCCTGTCAGCAAATCCATGTAATAAACCAAATAGAATTGGAAGGATGATTGGTGAGCATGAATTAGAGCATGAAAAGTTAGATGATCCTTATTTGCTGTCAAGTTATAATAGTTTAATGCCACTATCTCCCTATATGGATAAACCAGTGGCATGTGGAAAAAGGGAGGTGGGTGTCTTGACCTGTTCCTTCCATAGTCTGCGCTGAAGTCACTACCAAATTCTTACACTGAACATTTCCTGAGGCAACAGGAAAAGTATACGCTTCTTTATACATTTTTTTTTTTTTTGAGACTGAGTCTCTCTCTCTTGCCTAGGCTGGAGTGCAGTACAGCTATCTTGGCTCACCACAACCTCTGCCTCCCAGGTTCACGTGATTCTCCTGCCTCAGCCTCCCAAGTAGCTGGGACTACAGGTGTGCAACACCACACCCAGCTATTTTTGTATTTTTAGTAGAAACGGTGTTTCACCATGTTGGCCAGGCTGGTCTCGAACTCCTGACCTCGTGATCCGCCCACCTTAGCCTCCCAAAGTGCTGGGATTACAGGCATAAGCCACTGTGCCCGGCCTACTTCTTCAAACTTCCAAGGTTAAAATCACATCCTAGTAACACCTTCCTAAGGTCCCATCAAAGGCGAGCTAGTAGGCAATCATTTCTGTAGATTTCAAGCTCTCATTCTGACTCTTCCTGGTATCTCTAAACTCTGAGGGGGTATTCTGGTGTTGCTGTCAAATACAGCCAATGAGCCCACTTAGGATTCAAACTTTTTCTCACTAACCTTGTTAAAAAGAAACGCTCTGCCAGTGGCGCCTGTGAAACGAGTGGAGATGAGTTCTGAGCGGTTGGTCAGGATCGTATCACAGTTTGCACAAGAAAATAGACGGGTACCACCGATATGATCAAGGAAAATTCTGCCCATTTTTATGGCTGAAGTTCTAAAAACCTAGGAGCAAATAGAAAAGGATAACAAATGCATTATAATAATCATGTTATCACCTACTTGGGGGGTGTCATAGAGAACCATTTATATACATTATTTATGTAATCTCTGCTTTGTAGTACTCGATATGTGAAATAGCTGATCCTGAACAAAAAGATCCAAAGTTCACACACTGAACAAATAAACAGGCATGCCTAAGGTAAGATTTTAAAGCAGTGAGCCAAGGAAGTAAACCTATTAGCCAAGGCTAAAGAATGGTGTCACTTCTCTCATGGCTGGTGTGGAAAGAGAAAATGGAAAGTGGGATTTCAGAAAATGAATGATGTAAAGCACTGGCAAAGAGGTGAGAAAAGGGGTTTAGCATAAATGTTAAGTATATGTTCTGAGCATGTATAATTTCAGAAAAGAATTGTGAGGTTCCAGGGGGATACAAGCAGAAAAAGGGGCAATTAGAAAACAAGAAGAGTAGTCTGGTTTGAGAACATGGGGTGAGTAGGTCTGTGATCACCAGGTGCACTCACAACTGTATAGAGCTGATGACTAACTTTAAGCCAATGTCTAGGGAGCACCGTTACTAGGTACTTACTTCAAAATTGTCACAACTCTGTGAGGTTGTTACCACCACTTCATAGATCACCCAAGTCAAGTCTAAAAAGGTTATTAACTGGTCAAAGGTTACAAAACTGTTAACTACAGAAAAGTACAGAATGCAATTCACCTAATTCAAAGTTCTTCCATGATCCTACAGTGCCTCCAAAATGGTCCAGGCTGGCATAAGGCTAAAGCAATGAGAACAGAATAAGGGAAAGATAAGCTTTCCCATACATAACTTGATTATCTTTAAGAAATCTTACTGATTCAATAAATCACAGAAGGGCCGAAACACTGAAAAGATGTAAGTTTGAAACATATGTCTGAAACTAGGCTAACACTTTAACATTCAAAAGTTAGGGAAGTTACTATATGCAACTTCTTAAATTCATTACAACTAATTCTCGTAAACAGTATTCTTAAAGATCTAGATATAGACAAGAATATACCACAGTTTTAGTTTAAAACATAATTTATTCTTGGGTATAGTTATCAGCTCCTGTGTTTTAAATATTTATTATACATCTTTCCAAAGGCATGCAGAGCTAATATAACTGCCACCGTGGAAAAAAAAACACCAAAGAACTCCAGAATGCATGTTTGTAATGAGAATCTACTGTTGTCTTAAGATTGGGGGAATTCCATTACAAATTTAAAAAGAAATTCCATTCCTTCTAGTCTATGAACTTCCCCAGCCATTAGGCGGTCCTAATGTCACTGGAAATGTCATCACAAAAATCATTATGACACCCCTTAAACATCATGAAAGTTTAATAGGGAATAAAAAACAAATGGTGAATATAATGACAATGTGCAGCTAGAAAATGGAAAACCAGCATATTAACAAGAGTCACAATGAACCTTGAACTAAAACACAGACTTAAGCTATAATATTTAACTTTCTAATTACATTTCTACAAAATGACAGCAAAAGGAAACACTTATTGCCTTATTTCAGCCTTTAAGATTACCACATTATTTTCTTCCAGATGACTGAGAATACAACACTTGGCCAGGTGAGGTGGCTCACGCCTGTAATCCCAGCACTTTGGGAGACTGAGGTGGGCAGATCACCTGGGGTCAGGAGTTCAAGACCAGCCTGGTTAACATGGTGAAACCCTGTCTCTCTTAAAAATATGAAAATTAGTCAGATGTGGTGGCGCACGCCGGTGGTCCCAGCTACTCGGGAGGGTGAGGCAGGAGGATGGCTTGAACCCAGGAAGCACAGGTTGCAGTGAGCCAAGATCACGCCACTGCACTCCAGCCTAGGCGACAGAGTGAGACTCCGTCTCAAAACAGAAAAAAGAATACATTTATTATTTATTTACATATAAGTCAGAAGTTGCAAATTTGAGCTGAATTCATTTGGTAGCCTAGGAATACAGCAGTGAACAGATACAAAAACCCGTCCCTGAAAAACATATGTGGACATGTGTGTTTTATTTGGGTCAGTTTTTAATCTTCATTTTAGAAAGCTGAGGTGACATTTAAAATTTGGAAGATCTCATTAAAGAGCCTGTAGTTTGGATTTATTTTTAACAATGGGGAGGGCACATATTCTCCTATGGCAACAACTGACTACAACTGAGCTGCAGCCCCTAACCCTCACCAGGCCATTTTATTTGCTTGGTCTCCACTTTGCTTCACACAATTACTTCACCTGTTTGGTCCTTGTACCAATATTTGAATTTATGACTCCTGATATAAATAAAACATTCAACAAGCCTGTGAGCAGCTAAGTTTGGTCATGTTTCTGAATCTTGATCATTAACAGAAGGGAATCAACGGCAAGGTTTGAGAGTCTCCGCCGTTGAGGTGTAGGCCTCAGATTCTATGTCTTTGAAGACTAGTATTTGTGCAGTCATTTGTAACCTCCAGCTAGGGCTTCTGGGACTCATTATTTTAAAGCCAATTTCCCTTAAGACTTTTAAATACAATATTCATGTTGTAATTTATTTCAACCATAATGGAGAGTAACTAGCTGTTTCTACATTGATCACTGTGACACCATGCTGTTGTGGTAAATATGCTGGACTTCAAAGTGAACTTCCCTTATACCTTCTGCTCACATCATTTTATCCTTGGCTAAAAGCTACTGTGATCATTTCCTACTGAGGGTAAATAGACTTAACATGACTTTTTTCCCTGATTCCAATTCCATCTATTTTTTCTCTTTACCCAAGTATTTTTACTGGATTCAATTATATGATTCATTACCAAGACCAAAAATATCTGAGCAAAACCTTATGTTACACTATTCCTAGTTGTGGTTGCCATTTATAGAGAATATATATATATAGAACTGTAGAATGTGGTTTTTGTTTGCTAAGAAAGATAAGAGAATGCCACAGGATCTAGCAGAAGCAAGCAAAACATCACTTGCTGTCAAAGGTCTTTAGGAAGTAGAAAAACCTCTGTAGGGTCCTTAGGCTCCAAAGGTAGCCCTGGCCTTTGCAGGGTTAGAAACTCAACCTAACACTGACACTATTCAAACTCTCAAGAGGCTGACACCCATTAAAATGCCACTGCTATGGTCTCAATGCTTGTGTACCCCACCCCACTAATTCATATGTGGCATTAGCAGGTGATTAGGTCACGAGCAGAGTCCTCAAAAATGGGATTACTGTCCTTATAAAAGGGTCCCAGAGAGCTGCCTTGCTCCTTTCCATCATGTGAGGACGAAGCTAAAAGGTACCATCAACAGACACTGAATCTTATCTTGGACTTCCTGGCCTCCAGAACTGGGAGAAACACATTTGTTGTTTATAAGCCATCCAGTCTACAGTATCCTGTTAGAGCAGTCAGAATGAACTAAGACAGCCACTTCATTATTTAAGGAGGACAGTCATTAAAAAGCTAAGATATAACACTTGAATCAGGCTTCTCTGGACCTGAACAACATATTGAACTCTGCCTTAGACCTAATAATTACTTAGCATCTACACTGTATGGGACACTGTACTTGGTACTTACATACCACATTTAATTTTGACAATTTTTAAAGTAGGTATTTATCACCTCACTTTTATAGAGGAATTAAAGAGACTGTGACTTTCCAGAAGTGGCCAAGCCACTGCATTCTATTCTCTCCTAGCGATTAGAGGGCTGTCAGATTTACTCTCTCCCTCAGGGTGTACCATCAGCCCCTCCTGCTTCCATGCTGTTCCTCCTGTATTCCCTATCTTGGTTGGTGTCAACTGCAATCACAAACTCTCCTAAACTAGAAACCCTAGTAAGTCATTTAAGAAACTGCAAAATTAACAAGACTTCCTAAATCACTTTTGGAAGTTTTCCTCCCTCCCCTTCATCACTGTATTAGATTCAAACTCTCCTCACATCTGGATAAAACTTTCAGGGTCAGGGAGTGGGAACTGTTAAACCCAACATACATTCATATATACCACTTCATTTCTGCTACACACAGTTACAAAAATACGGTCAAAGGCATGTGCCGCCCCTTTCTAAAAGCTCATAGAGGTTGCTCCCTTATAAACTTTGAAACTTTTCTGACAGAACAGAAAATTGCTGTTTTTAAAAACAAAAAAAACCAGTTTTATTAAGGAATACTCTAAATGACAAAGTTTACTCACTATAAGTGTACAATTCAATGACTTCTAGTCAATTCATAAAATTGTGCCACTATCACCACCAACTGGCTTTAGAATGCTTCCATCAGTCCCTCAAAAATTCCCACACCAGCCTGCAGCCAATACCTTCTCCAACTCCTGGCCACTGGCAACCACTGATCTGCTTCCTGTCTGATTGCTTTTACATTCAAAATATTCCCCAAGTATGCTAATCACCCTGGTTGGACTTAGAGTAATCCCAGATCTCTTCAGCCACGTATTGCTAAAACATCTTAAGAGTGAGCTGCTTTCACAGACAGCTAATGTTTGGTGTTGATTCTGGGGGCAGCTTACTGTGTCCTTTAGTAGCAACACGCAGACTTTGGTATATGTCAGTGCTGAAGTTCAAGTTTATAGCTGAAATGAGAGCTAAACTCATCATAAAGCTTAAGTTTTCTTTAAGATGTTCCCTACCTTATAATGTTATACATAAGGCCTCTTTGGTACTATCTTCTTGTAGGTCCAGGTTATAAAAACCCTAAAAAGGTTGAATAAGAAAAGTACCAAGCTTGACTGTTTAACTGGAAGCCTATTCTTAGTTTACTTGAAATTACCTGAAATAGTGAGGGGCTGGAATGAAAATATAAGTGAAATTTATAGATAATTTCACAGATCGTATTTTAGCATTATTTTCAATTTCCTCCCTCTCCCACCAATAGCATATTTAGCTATCTAGAACTTCCAATTTCTCTTTTATCAGAAGACTCTGGTGAAATATAAAAAACATTTTCGGATCTCTGCCTTGTTACAGAATTTTTTTTTTTAACTACAGAATCTGTTAAGAGGGGAAAAAAGGGTGATTCTCTTCAGAAATCTGCCAAAGAGTCTCCAGGAATGCATTATTTTAAAATGCATGATGGATATGATGGACTATATAATTTCCTAGTTGCTTCCACATCAATAAAACCATTTTCTAAAAAGACTATTGGTTTATCATACGCATACACTATCAAACGAAATACGGTGTCTTGTTCACTTGTCTGGCTCATTGCTAACCGTTTTCCTTAAAAGCAGGGAAGGCTGTGGTCAATTCAGCTCGCCACCTGTTTCTGTACTGCCCACAAGCTGAGAATGAATTTTATACTTTTAAATGGTTGGGGGGAGGGGAGAATATTTTCTGACACATGATTATATGACATTCACACTTCAGTGTCAAAGTTTTCAGGAACACAGCCACGCCCATTTGTTTACACTTAACTCCTTCCACTTTACAATGGAGAGGTATGAGGAGCTGCTACAGAAACCTTCTGGCTTGCAAAGTTTAAAATATTTTTTACCTGGTCTTTTTTACCAAAAAAAGTTTTCCCTGCTTAAAAACACATTCTGATAGTGAAAGAGCTTTGCATTTAGAAAGCAGTCTTTCCCAGAAAAAATGGAAACTTGGTTGGTATTTGGGATTAAGGCTAGATAGGAGTATTTGAAAAGATCAGTTTAATCCCATTCCCCTTTTCTTTACTGATTTTTTGGCTAAAATCCTAAACTTTCTGTAACCAGTTCAGCATGTTGAAGATCAACTCTAATAAAGATTATAAAAATAGAAAATATCTACCAGCTGCTGTCTCTCTCTCCACCTCCAGGTCTTAAACTGTGGAGCTGAGATACTGGAACTCTGGAGATTCCTAGATTCGAATCTCAGCTCTTCCCCTTAATAGCTTTGGAAACACTGTGTGAGTTCTCCTCTCCTGTTTCATCTGTAAAATGGCGAGAGTAGCAGCCATCTCTGAGTTATGAGAAATTAAAAGGAGATACTCTATTCTGAGAATGGTGCCTAGCACACAGTGAATGCTCAATAAAGGTCAGTAAAACTAGATTATCTGTTCTTCAGCATTCCCCATCCCAACTCGCCCTATGACAGATGAGAAAAGCATGGCCCAGAAAGGATATGAAACAGTAACAATTAACTGGCTTCACTTCCTTAGCTAAAGCTAAGCGACCAGGTGATAGAAATTAGAAGCTGGAGGAAAGTTAGAAACCTTCTGAAGCATGTCACAGTTCTAGGTCTTAAAAGAGGTACTTGTTGTCCCTATAATTAATAATCCAGTTTGGTTTCAACCCTAGCAAGTGGAATTAGTCAAGGGAGGCACCACTTCCCAGCCCTAAAAATACCAGGGAGGGTAGGTATTGCATCTCATAGGACCTTCTGATGGATGGAAAAACACCCAGTTCACAGATAAACTTTTCCTTAGTAAATGAAACCATCGCCTCAGGGCATTTCCATAGAATACACACTCCACCAGATCCCCAGTGTCAGACAGACGGCAGTGGGTTTTCCATTGCACCAGAAGATGGGACAAAGGCAAGGTACAAAGACTCTGCTGCAGGGAACTGAGTATGCAGGCATCTAGCGCAGAAAGGGTTAAAGGAACCCGCCCCTTGCAGAGGTCGTTTTGTTTTGCAATGATTCTGCTAAAATGGAATCCGGTGGAAGCCAGCTTTCGTATCTCGTTTTTAATCTCTTCCCTCCCTCGCCAAAACAAAGGATAAAAACCCAAAAAACTTTTAAGAGTGCTGGGTTGATTACTATAATAATTAGCACTTATGGCTATTGTAACTTCATCAACTTTTTATACTGAGTTGTGACTAAACGCTATTAAAAAATCTACATGGGAAAACAGTTTGATCCATACAACCAACTTCCCAATTTTTGTGCAAAATATGTAACAAGGTAAGTTTTCAGTGACACAAGCAAGCTCTGCTATCCTCTTGCAGTACGCGACCAGTTTACTTTGCTGTGTCAAATGATGTCCTGGTTGTGGACTCAGGTCTTCATTTGCAGTAAGTTTTAAGGATATATTTTTGTTCTCCCCCCTCAACAATGCCTTATTTTTTCCTGTTTTGTTAGATGATTTTCAAGTTCACTATATTTCAATAACACTTATATTTGTTTAAATATCAGAAAATCAGACTAGTCACTTAACTCAGGAAGCCGTGTGTGTTAGTGCACAATCTGAGTTGGTCATATCCCCCCAAACCCTAGTAAGACAATTTCATGATCTCGTTTCTTGTGATGCATTACCAAAAGCCTCTAACTAGGTGGACTGACGTGTAATCTGTCTGGCTTCCCTACCCAAGTGTCAAGTAGCAAGTTCAGGTCTAGCTAAGGTTCAGTTCCTGCATTACACTGACATTACTACACCAGGAATACCTTAAAACTGACACTGATCTCTATAAGCATTCACTATTAAACCTAAAATGACATTTTGGGCACAAGTATACCTAGGACTACCTTCATGTCTCATGGACTGTTTGAATTTCAGAGGGTAGTAGCTGCTTTAATTTCTTCATTTCATAATTTTTGATCTTATTTCCTTTCGCTTTTATTTTTTCTAAACCTTTCATTTTTCTCATTACTTAAACAGAGAACAGAAAAGGGAAACTAGAGAAAAGTTTGCCATGATCCAACCAGGTAACATTTTCCAAGTCACACATATTTTACTAACGTCTCATAACTTACTATTTTTCATATTATTGCTCGATTGCATTTGTCTACGACTTTTGATTAAGTTATAAGCTTCTAGAGAAACTATTCTAAATTCTTTGTACTTTACTTCTTACCTAACCCAGTACAAGTATGCGATAAACTTTCAGGAAACGAATCCACCAAGGCACTTCACTTCTGGGATGAATATGTGCCCTGGGAACACCATATGCCTTTTGGTTCCTCTCTGGTGGAATGCAGCTGCAACGCTGTATATGTGGCTATGCAAAGTTAGCTAATATCCTATTCCTCCCAGTTTCTTCACCACCAAGTGTACTAATTTTCCAAAAATACAAGGTTAGCCCGAGGTTACTTCAGGTTTTCCATCTGTCAAGAAGACGTGGAATAAAAATCCTCAGATTACCAACAGATCTCTGTAAACAGAAAAAGTTTAAAAATAAATGAGCTGAACAGCTTCCCAGACTCTCCCTGGAAAGGGAGATCAGTTGGTGTCAGGATTAAACAGATCTTTGTAGTATTTCAATTTCCCACTCCCGCTGATCCGGACACTCGTTTGTCCCATCTACCTGCAGAAGAGGGTACAGGAAAGGGGTTGCAAGGGCACGCCCACCCTCCCAACAGCGACCGGA